ACGTTTCACTATAATTTAATATTAATTTATTAAATATATATATATATATATATATATATATATAGTTAAAATTTATTATTATTATAAATAATATTTTTAAATTAATATAATTATATATTTATATTACAATAATATTTATAAATTTATATTACAATAATATTTATAAATTTATATTACACATTATAATATTAATTCTTTTTTTTTCTTATTTAAATATATTATTTTAATATATATATATATATATATATTATAATATTCTATTTAGTAATATAATTAATATTGCAATTATTATATAATATTATATTATAAAATAAAACAAACAAACAAACAAACAAACAAAAAACTAATAAAAAATTTGAATTATTCATTGAACCCCTGAATATAGGCAACCCATTATGATCCGAGTTCTATCTAAAAGTTGTTTACACAATTATTCATTGTTCCTTCTAATCAAACTCCGGTTCCTATCATCATCTTTCTCTCTTTCTCTCTCTCTCTCTCTCTCTCTCTCTCTTGGGAATGTTGATAAGAGACAGAAATGCTTTTATTAACGAAATGATAATAATTTAAAAAGATAATAATTAAAATACATGACCACATATATATCATCATCACAATAAACAACATTGCTACTTTGCTGCTACGAATAAAAATCGTATCGAGACTTAGAGCCTTCGTTAAAAATCAAAATCTCATCCACCCCCCCCTTCCTTTGACCCTCTCTCCTCCTCCCCCCCTTCTACCCCTCATTCAAAATAGATACACATAATGTGTTACACAAGAAATATCCACATGTGTGTATATTGGTGTATTAGAGTGTGTATTGTATTTGTGTAACTGGTTAGAAAGAACGATTGGAATTTTGCCTATTAAAGAGCTGCCAACAAGTTTTACACTTTATATCGGTCAAACATCGATAACACGATTTAATACTTCATCTCTTTTTGTTTTTTTTTTTTAAATAAATCTTTGTATAATTTAAAACACAATGATGAATAAAAAAAAAACGAACAAATGAACAAAGAATGAAAGAGAGTACAAGAAAACGAAATATGTTTCAATTATTATCATTTAATAATAATAATAATAATAATTGTAATGTTCTTATAATTATGACAAACAATTGTTATAAATATTAATGAACTGAAAAAAAAAGAAAAAATACGAAAAAAAAATCAAGGAAGAAATAATAATCTTCATAAAACAAATGAAACAAACCAGCAATTTGCAATTTGAAACGTTGCACGTGCAAAGAACTTGTCATCAGGTTTGAAAATGAGATATTTTAATTGTTCTAATTTTTTGTGTTCTTTTTTTTTTTTGTTAAATGAATTTTTGAAAAGAAGAAGACTTTTGAAATGAACACGATTTGCACAAAAACTATCTTCCTCTTCCCCCCCCTTCTATAATAATAATAATAATATTTATGCAAAAGACTTGTCAGATTTGAAAAAAAAAAGAAGAAAAATCAAGGAAGGAATAATCTTCATAAAACAAATGAAACAAACCAGCAATTTGCAATTTGCAATTTGCAATTTGCAATTTGAAACGTTGCACGTGCAAAGAACTTGTCATCAGGTTTGAAAATGAGACATTTAATTGTTCTCTTTGTTTTGTTCTTTTGTTTTATTTTAATGAATTTTGGAAAAGAAGAAGACGTGTTGAAATGAACACGATTTGCACAAAAAGATATCTCCCTTTTCCCCCTCCCCCCTCCGCCCCCCTCTATAATTTAATATTTCATCAAAATAACTATGTTACAAAGGGTGTAATTAATAATTGAAATGCAATTTAAACTTTCCCTGTCATAGAATTTCTAAAAGGATGATTTTTTAATGTAACCAATTAACATAAGCCAAAATTGATCTTTAAATAATTCAAATATCACTTTTCTTAACTAACAATTAATACAATACTTAACTTAACACCCACATATATAAAATAATAATAATAATAATAATAATAAATACCTTTGAATGTATTTAATTGAAGATTTGATTGAATACGTGTAAGACGATGTTAAACATTCGTTTAAGAAAGAAAGAAAGAAACAACACTTCACTTACAATTAAACGAATTCACTATAAGACAACACAAGACGCATAAAAGCGTGTGATCCAATGACTATGCCGAGCACGACTGCCAGAGATGACTACTGACAACCTCTTATATGACACGAGCAAGTATAAAAGAGTGTAAGTTAGAATAGGGGGGAGGGTTCATTTGTATGTGTTTGTGTGCGTGTTTTAGTATAGATAATACTTTCTAAAATAGTATCGTGAGTCAAAAGTTTTCCGGATAAAGTATATGTATACGTGTATGTGTATGTGTATGTGTGTGTTAATTTGTACACGGAAAAATGTATATATCATTTAAAACTACCCTTTGTACTATTTGTAAAACAAGGATACTTATCAACTTGAACTTTATTGTTTATTAGGATGAGTGTGTATGATTATTTAAATATAGATATATATTTAATATGTTAATAATTATTTATTAAATATGTGATTTTTTTTTTTTTAAATTAATATTATTATATTATTTGAAAGTATAAATCATTTGAAATATTATATTATATTTGATTATATAATAATAAAATATTAATTATTTAATTATATTAATATATTTTTAAATAATAATTTTATATATTTGTTATATTTATATGATTATTAATTATATTATTATATTATATTATATTATATGTTATTATTAAATAAAAATTTCCATTTATAATAAAATATGTTGAAATAAATCATGATTTTATTTAAATTCATATTATTATATTATTAATTGAAAATAAAAATATGAAATCGTACGAAATATTGATAAGAACCATCTTTGCTAAAAACCACCCCCCAACATTATGTCACACAAAGTACAAAAGAAATTATCTATCATCTAGTGCATCTATTCGTAGATGTAATAGAAACCCCTTATCTTCACAATGTGCTTGAAAATGATCTATGTATTTATTTGATATAATATACAGTTAAATAGGACAACAACGTTGTTGATAAGATCAATTCATCTTTTTAATAATTTCCACTTTTCTCATCTTTTATATCACTTTGAAGTATCGCGTTAATCTTCGAAAAATAAAATCGAGATAAAAAAAAAATTAAATATATGAGAGAAAGAAAGAAAGAAAGAAAGAAAGAAAAAAAGAGAGAGAGAGAGAGATAATGTTATCAAGTAACTCAATCGTAATCTTCATGAAGATGTTTACAGTTTTACAAATATAAATTAAAAAAAAAAAAAAAAAGAAAAAATAAGAAAAAAAAAACACATTAAAAGTTATTTACGAAAGAAGATTAAAAAAGAAATCATTTTAATCGCCTAATCAAATTGTCCTAATTTCTTCTAGATAATCTTAACGAATTGACAACACATCTCTCGTGGTAAAATGATCGATTTAAAATAAAAAAATAAAAAAATAACGAAAAGTACTTCTTATACTATAATATTTATATTTTAACAAAATATAATATTAAATGAAATATATAATAATAATTATGATATATTAAATATAATAAAAAAAAATATATATATATATATAAATAAAAATATTATTATTATAAATTATAAAATAAATTTTGTCATATAAAATGTGTTCATTATAAAAATTAATATTTACAAAATAATAATTATTCCATTAATTCAATTTACAAATAATAACAAATACAAATAAACTGTGTGACTATATACTTTATACAAATAAATTGATATTGTCATATTATTTTTCATGCGAATGGTGAAAACAAAGTCCATAAGTTCATCCTACTTTTCAAGAATTCCAAGCAGAACTTTAGACCAAGACTATAAAGATCGTTCGATATCATTTCTCTCACTCTCTCTCTCTCTCTCTCTCTCTCTCTCTCTTTGTTTTTTTGTTATTGTTGTTAAATACTTTACTCGAGAATAGTTCAAACGTTTTAGCTTTGTTCTCTCTCTCTCCTCTCTCTCTCTTTAACGTTGTTTTATTATAATACTTAACATGACTACTCCCGCAAATATATATATATATATATATATGATCTTTGATAAGAACTAACATATTATATGTACACATGATATGTATATATATGTATATGCTTACGTGTGTGTAATAATAATTAAGATCAATTAATTTTACGTCATACGAGTTCAATGTACAATACATAAATGCACGCACACAACACATTTATTATACATATGTATACATAAATAAATTCATACATATATATATGCATTTTTTACATATGTTTTTTGTCATTCGTTAAATGGTACTGTACACGCGTTATAATGTTAAAAATAAATGTAAATTTTTAAGGACCATTAAAAAAAAAATAGAATGTTCAAGTTGTTTTACACGCGTATCATATTTTTTTTTTATTTTTTTTATTTTTTTTAGTTAATTATTCTGAGTGCTTAAAATAAGCTGCTTTCACCTATCTCTCTCTTTCTCTCTCTCACCATTTCTTTCTTTTTTTTTTGTCTGCCTCTATGTGTCTATCAATTTTTTGTTCCTTTCTCCTAATGTAAGTCATAGGTATGTATTCCATATATGGGATAATAATTTTGGAAATATAGCGCCGTATTAAATAAAATGAATGAATAGGGTTTCATCTTCAACATTAAAAAATACCTCTTTTTTTTTTTTTTTTTACCTTTTTATATCGCAGGAGGACATGCACGCATGATTTGACCCTAATATAAATATAATGAAAGAAGAACAGTTCGCGTGTATCGATTTGACGATGTTCGTTGGACGTTTTATATCGTCATGGAGATATAGGAAAACAAATCTAATTCATTGTAAAAAAAAAAAAAAATAAATTAAAAAATAAACAAACCATTTATTTCTTCATTTGAGTAGTAAGAAACGTGAATTCCATTGTGTCCAGTTACAAGAAAAAAAATAAAATAAAAAGAAAACAAGAAGAACATAAAAGTTAAAGTTCATTTCGTATAAGGCACGATGAAGAATTTAATTCAAAAATGATTGAAAAACAATGATTACAAATTCCAAAATAAGAATCCCACAGTTTTAATGTTAACCAATCCAAATATGTTGTGTTGAATGTTGAATTTTGTTTAATCAACGATACATTTAAATGACTGTAATTAATAATCGCATTTTTAATTAGTGTTTTAACAACAAGTAAACAAATATAAATTTGATTTCAAGATCAAACTATCTAATTAATGTGAGATTTAAAAACTCGACAAAGTCGAGTAAACAAGGATGCCCACGTGTTTGTTGGATCGTAGTAGTAGCAGCATTCTTAAGCGATGAAAGTACGTGTGTGTGTATATATATGAATAAAAAATAAAAAATAAAAAAAAAAAGAACACAAAGAATGAAATAATACTCATTTATATCACATTCATTTATTATCTTGTTCAATTTAATTTCTTTATTTTCATCACCCAAAGTATTTTTGATCAAAAAAAAAAAAAAAAACTCTGAAATATCTCAACCTACTTCACTTGAGTTTCATTTTCAATTATTGAGATATTTCGGTGATAATAGGACGATCACGTTATCGTACAATTCACTGATCGATACAATACAATTGTACGCTTGATTACGAACACATGTACATGAAACAAAATGATTATCCTGTTACTATCATTAACATTAACTTCAATTTATTATTGTCACGAAACTATATATATATATATGTTCTCGTTTTAATAATAATAAAAAAAGAAACAAGTCAAATAAAAACACTTTATATAATAATCATGCAAATAGTGAATGAACAACCAAAAAAATTCTATTTTAAAAAGATGAAGATATCTTAATAATAATAATAATAATGATAATAATAATAACCAACAGGTAAACATATTTAGTGATGAAAATTAAGAGATGATAACGGAGTATGGATAAATACAAAAGAAAGTATCATGTGGTAGCAGCTTGTTAAACATTCATAAGATTCGATATTTCTATTTTTGCAATGTAGGTCGGTGCCGTCGTCTTTGTTACGTTTCATCAGATTATTTTACAAATAACATTTCAAAAATTGTCAAATTAATTGTGTTAAACATTCTACAAAAAAAGAAAAAAAAAGAAAACAAAACAAAATACAAAAAAAAAAAAAAACATGAGAATTATTTTCAATGATTGAAAAAATTGTTTTAAAACGTTTAACGTCACGCTCATTTTCAAGGAAAGTCCCCGGTCAGGCCACAGGCGTTATTTTGTATTGAAAAAAATAATTTAACGTGTCAGTCACATACGACTGACATGGCCTAAACGATAAAATCTACTGTCAGTCATTTATGACTGACGTGGCCTAAACGACAAAAATCTACTGTCAGTCATAAATGACTGACGAGGCCTGGGCGTGAAGTTTAGCGTCAGTCATAAATGACTGACGTGGCCTGAACGCGAAGTTTACTGTCAGTCATTTATGACTGACGTGGCCTGAACGTGAAGTTTAGTGCCAATCACCAATAATTGACGTGACGGTTAACATTATCAATGGAAGAACAACAACGTTGTTATTATATCATATCATTTGTTTAGTCATAATAAGGAAAAATGAATGTCTCGTCACAAGTAAAAATAAAGAAAAAAGAAAAAAGAAAAAAAAAAGTATACTTGTAATTTATTCAATTAAAATATTATACGAGGTATTTAGAATAATTTAGAAAAAGAAAAATACAGAGAGAGAAAAAAAACATAGAAAGAAAGAAAGAAAGATAGGAAAACAAAACGAAACAACAAAAACAACAACAACAACAACAAGGTAGATTACCTTGACACATAAAAATTTAAATGAGAAATCCAGTAACTTTCTCTATTTCTCTCCTACTAGTAAATACTAGTAGTAAGTGACTAGTTACTTTTTATCAATAATTAAAATCAAGACAAAATAAAACCCGTTGTGAGATGCATTTCATTCAAATAAGAAGATTTAAAAAGAAAAAAAGAGAATTTCAATTGATAAGAAATCATTTTATAATCTTTTAATAACGGATTAGAATTTGTGTTTGTTGTGTGTGTTTCATTTTAAAAGATAGATAACAAACAAAGTCTCTCATTGACGAGTATTTGATCTGGAATTATTTATCTGAGAATTTGAAAATAAAAAACAGAAATAAAAAAATAAAAATAAGAAGAAGAAGAAGAAGAAAAAGAAG